GAGTGATGCTCACCAGTGACTTTTTACATTTAGTACTCAATGGAGGGAAATACTGAGAAGCAATCAGATTGGTACTGGTACTAGTGCATCTCAAATGCTCCTGTAAATCTTTTTCAAAAACTCTGACATACTAGTAGTATCACCAGAAGTGTCTGTGGCATTGGATGGAAAATGTCGATGGTCAGGGGGGGGGAGTGACTTTAGTTGGAGAGGTTTCTGATGGAGAGAAAAATGTATATGACTCTTTTTGTACATCATGCTTGGTGTAAGGCCCCCTTATGGGAATTATTGTGACGTTGCATTCCTTTACTTCTCTTAACGGAAGAAGGGTCAACTGGTATGAGATCAGAGGAGGATATGGATACTATTTTCCTGGGGGACAAACAGAGACAGCAGATGATACTTCCATTGTTTGAGAAATGTAGCACCAGTTTGGAGAAGGATACCATTCCAAAACTTTGTGAAAAAGACATCCCTATCAAGGCAGCAGATAGAAATACCAAGAGACTTTTGAGCCAAAACCTTGAGGGCATTGCTTGTCCACTTCATGATACTACTAACATTATGACCACTAATATTACAACAAACGTCACGGCATTCAGGACAAGCATGGTTAGTAATGATACTTGAATGTGTATGCATGCAAAATACTCACATCCCCAAAGGAAAACACTCTAGTTTTCATCATCATCATCATCATCATCATCATCATCATACGAGAATGAGGTTCTGCAACATAGGTGAGAATAAAGCTAAGGAAGATTGTGAGAGATGACAACATATCATTACCTAGTTGCTGAAAAGAAGCTTTCTCAATGGGCTTTCAAAGCAGAGAAGATTGATTGGATTCACCTAGATCACTGGAAAGAGTTTGATTAAAACACAACAAACAGTTTTGGATGAATCATGTTACAAAACAGCTCCAGAACTACACAGTGATGTTTTGTTGCACAACTTATTGGTTGGTATTCCAACAACAACATTGGTAACAAACTAATCTATGTTAGGTTCTTTCAATGTGCATTACAACTATTCTGACCAAGTTGTCTTTAATCAAGGAAGATAATCTGCCATTCCCTAACCCAAAAAACTGTCTCCATTTGCTGTCACCCCAAAATGACTGAGGATACCCTCTTCTGCAAACTCAATCATGGGGAATGGTGGGTAGAAACATGGAAGAAGAAGTGCTACCCAAGTAATGATGAGATTTTAAGTTCCAATCATTTTTTAAATGGATGACAGTTTTATTGATAGGCACAGATGCACAACCCTTTGTCCTCTAAACATGACTCTTGGGATATTCAGCAATATTACACAATCTGCTAGACTAAACAAAAGGGAGACAATATATTTTCAAACACAAGGAAAATGCAAGCAGTCCTCAGTAGATAATGCCTGCCAATAACCTCCATGATGCCTTACAGACAGTGTTTGCCTCCTTCTTCAGAGAAGCATGTGAATTGTCAAATGATATTTGGTGGCACAATTGTCCACGGAATGGCAAACGTTGCAATGTGAGAATGGAATTTGAAGTTTTTTTTCATTGGTGACACAGAGCAGCAAAACAAGCTCTACAGGCATTTTACTTCTGTTGAAACTAAAATGATATGCAGGCATTGCAACTGGTGCCTGCACCCCTTGGAATTAATGCAAAGGTGAATGTCATAAATGCCTCTGTTCAAAGGAACTGAAAGAAAACCAAGGTGCAGCTCCAAGGGGCACCACCTCCCTCCAAAGTGTTTGTGGCAGAGCAACCAGATTTTACACATACTGATAAGCCAATTAAGGCCTGGGGCTGGACTCAGAGGACAAAAAAAGAGTTGGCTCATAGTATGGATGGATGAGAGCCATGTGACAATCATTCAAAGTGCACTGCGAAGCAAAAGGCAAGTCCTTCTGCAATGAATAAGAAAGAAAGAAACAGGTGTGAAGCACATTGCCAAGTCAATAAAGGCAAGAGCTTCTGCAGTGTCCAAGGACACAGGTGCTTGTGTAGTGGTCATAGAAAGAAAAATCAAACAATAAGAGCTAAAAAAGAAGAAAACCAAAAAGAAAAAGAGCACTTGACAAACTGACTCAGTCTTGGTGTAGTTGGGTCTGACACATTTTATAGCGTTGGTTCAATGATTCCGGCCAAACCATTTGTGCATTTTTAATCCTACTATATTTATACACAGATATCAATATGTTCCACTACTAAGACCCCCCAACTCCCCCATACTGTTAGAAAGCTCTTTTTACTGGGAATCAATTCATGTGCGTATCATACTTAACAAGTGTCTGTTGGGGAAAAAGTCATACTAGTGGTTAGCGCCAGTTGAACCTCTCTCAATGTTCTACTAGTTTTTCTACTGTGTGTCAATTTTGAGCTATCTTTTCATTGTGTAATGACTTGTGGGATTAAAAATTGACTTGTACCAGGGCTACAGTGCATGTGCAAGTGAAACTATTTTGGTTGCACAACTGGTGGGATTGAAAAATCCAACACTATGAGCATGTACATATGTATAAATTTATTTTTTGTCAAAGTACTAGTTATTATATGCCAAATAAGGGCCCAAAACCTACAACTGGTTTGTACATTCCATAGCCAACCATACAATAGGTAATGCTGGTAGCGCTGAGGATATTTTATGGAGGTAGAAGTGCCAATGGTGGCAGTATTGCTGCAGGAGCAACTGTTTGTGAAGCCCCTTTTTGGAGAAGAGGAGAACTGGGGATAGATTTGTAAGATCTAGATACTGGTTTGGATACTTGGGGCTGGGGTTGTTGTTGTTCTTGCTGTTCAACACAAACATCAGAAACAACAACATCCCCACTGGAAACTTCTTCTGGTCTGTAAAAACTGGGGCAGGGAGAAGGATGCTGATATCAGTATCAGCTTGGTTGGATTGCTTGAATAGGAGCTTGTTGGATTGTTGCTGTTGCTGTCCAACACAAATGGCAGAAAAAAGAACATCATGACTGGAATCGCCTATTGGTAGTCCTTACTGGAACTGGTGTACGGAGCTAAGGCTGGTGAATAGGCTGGTGAATCTTCTGTTGAACTGATTATGCAGCACATACTCCAGCCATTGTTCTGCAAAGGAAAGGTCTTGGTTGTATACTGGGGGCTGGGGTTGGTGTTGTTGCTGTCCAGCACAAACATCAGAAACAAAAACATCATGACTAGAATCTTCTTCCAGTCTATAAATACTGGAACAACTGGGGCATGTGCAGCTAAGCTGGTGGTGAATCTTCTTAAACTGAGTATGTAGCAGATACTCCAGGCATTGTTCATCAAAGGAAGAAAGGTCTTGGTCAAATACTGGGGGCTGGGGTTGCTGTTGTTGTTCACAAATGTTGGAAACAACAACATCATGGTGACCAATCTTATTCTGGTCTGTAAGAACTGGGGCATGAATCCAGCTGGTGGCTGAGGCAAACAGCTGGTGGGGGATACTGGAATGATGCTGATGAGATCAGCATCACCTTTGTCAGATTGCTTAAATAGGGGCTTGGTTTGTTGTTGATGGCAGCCAATTCAAATGTCAGAAACAACAACATTGTGACCAGAATCATCTTCTGCTCTGTAAATACTGGAACTTCATGGAGATGCTGGGCAGTCTTCTCTCAACTGAGTGGTATGTAGTATATACTCCAAGTGTTGTTCTTCAAAGGAAAGGTCTTGGTTGAATACTGCTGGGGACTGGGGTTGTTGTTGTTGCCCATGAATGTTGGAAGCAACAACATTGTGACTGGTATTCTTCTGGTCCTTCTGGTCCTTAGGGACAAGCACACCAAGTTTCCCCTTCTGGATAACATCATGGAATGCATCTTCAAAATAGAGGTGAAAKGTATTTTTGGTCTGGCACCAGAGTGCCAGAATAAGCCATTCCATTGAACACTTGTTTGTGAATACCTACTCAAGATACTTCTTGTTGGTTTGTTTAGTTATCTTGTGGTGGTTGCAAAGAGGAAAAACTGATGACAAAAAAAAGATGTGAGCCCCAAGAATGGGTGTCAAACTCATGCCAAGAATCATGTGGTGTGAGAACATGTTCCACAGATAAGTGCCCTGAGTTTTTTTAGTAGTGCAAAGTATGCGTGCACGCAATTTTTTGAATGGACATGTCAGGAAAAACTTCACACCACAATATGGTTTAGTGTGCTGGCACCATAGGCACTGCTACTAATAGTACTAGACAAGAACAGATCAATGAATTCCATTCCTATTTTAGAAACAACAAACAGTCACAATTGTTTTGTTCTGAATTCACTTCTAATTTTTTAAATTTTTCCAGCAAGGCACTCACTTATTTTTTGCACCGTAGTACTTGTACTGTTATACTTTACTGCGCGTTTTGTAACAATTGAAACCGGCCTCAAAAGAGAGCAAAAAGTAATAATTTCAAGTTCTTAACTTTGATTTGAAGTTATGAACTTTTGATCCTACATCATGTACCAGGTTCTACTGAGCTAGTTTTTTAAAATGACTGCTGAATGGCTGAATGATCCCTGGGGCCCCTCAAAACAAAAAAATGGTTCAGGGCGATTAAAAATGGTTTGAGCTGATTCAATCATGAATGCCATCCAAAAACTAGCTCAGTAGAACCTCGTAGTACTACTAGACTTGCTACCAGGACATTTGAAGTTCATAACTTGAAATTATTACTTTTTGCTCTCTTTTGAGGCTGATTTCAATTGTTACGAAACGCGTAGTAAGTGCCTGCGTTAGCCAACGATTTCTTGTTTGTGAGGGAATTGCCTTAACTTGCCAGCATGGGACCCGTACTTAGTAGCTCTAAGTACTAAAGGTATGTATGTACGTATGTACTTGCAGGTTGACACAAAGCAGATAGGAAAGAGGTCACACACTCACCCAACATGGTGAAAAAAGTTTCGTTGATTCGTTGATGGACCTCCGATGAGTCAATTTTTTATTTTGAAAAATCTCACGGTCTATTTGTCATTTTTCGATATCAACCCGACCTATGCGATCGGTAATCCTCTTCATTTTCCGCTCACTCGTCCTTGCTATCTACGAAAGGTATCTAATATCTTGCTGGAAAAAGAAAACGAAAATGTCTTGTTTGTACAGTTTTCAGATTATTTCGTACCTGGCATCTCTGTTACTCTTGATAAGTTCGAGCGGGGTTATTGAAGAAGTTTCGTCGCATTCTGTAAACGACCGTCGCTGTACGCGTCGGGTTTGGATCCAGATTTCTTCTGCTTCGATTGCGGTCGCTCAACACCCAGGAATATCTTATGCCGAAACACGGGCGGCAACGAATCCTGTAGAGAAACTTATGGAAGCCCAAGAAACTCTTAACACTTTGCTCGAAAATTACGAAAGAGCAACGACCGATTGCACGTTTGCAGACGTCCCACGTGAGCTGCTGGAAACCAAGAATAAAGAGCTCTTGTTAGAAAAAGCTGCGACCAATGCACTATTTGATAAATCGGCATCTATAGAAACATGCAAAACAACAAATCGGATTGTGCGTGACTACTTGGGGGTGACAGGAAAAGGTTAGTAGACCAGCATGCCAACACCGAACGGTTGTTATGATTCCTTGAGGGGACAGATTTTGCGAAATTCTGTGAATATGCACTTTTCATTTTACCTAATAATTATGTTTTGTTTTTCACAAGGTCCTTTGGTTGGGATTGAGAAACGAATCCAATCGGGCCTCAAATTTGTCGACGGGGATTTCTTGGACGATTATGTATCTGGTAAGTTCATCCATTACGAAATTATCACAAGGACATCCTACTGTCACATCCCTTTCACTCACCTGTGCTTGGAATTGTTTTTAAAATTTCCAAACTGTAAGAGTTGGAAGGATTTTCCCAGGCTTATAGTAAAGCAACTTCCTTGAGCTACACAGCAGGAATTGCCGACTTGGATTCTGTGAATAATTTTTCAAAGGAAGATGCTGACGAATCAAAAAGGGACAACAATAGTAACTTGCAGCAAACCAAAGAGGCAATTATAGAGGCAAAGAGGAATCTTGATGTTGTGATATTAATATTACAGAAATCACAGTTATAGATGGAATGCCATTCTCACACGAGTTTGCAAATTATGTACACCTGAAACTGGCGGGTTACAGTAACCACTATGACCAACAATTCAAAAGAAACTGTGACGATAAATGGACTGTTTGCAGTTTGCAATCTCACAGTCACTTCTCTTTGTAGAAAATGCTTATATCTTACTCCTCAGAGGTAATGCTGGTGGAAGCTACTAGTGGTGAATGCAATCGCAACATGCTGAGTTTCCTTGGTGCTACTGACAACAAACTTTCTAATACCTTTGTTGAAACTTCATTCATGCAATCTATGACAGAGATATCTAATTGAATGGTTTTTTGTTCACTTGCATACTGAAGGTTCCATAGTAATAAGGTACTCATACGGTCATTTTTGCTATAGATTTTATTTTTCAAATTGTTGAGCTCCAGAGAAGTAAAAAAATTCAATCCTGTTCCAAGTGCAATACCAAAAATTACAAGAAGTGGAGCCCTTCACTGTTGCTTCAACCACTACGTTGTCTATCATTTTTGGTTGTGGTGTCAGATTTCAGGAGAGTAATTGTTGTTGGTGGTGGCATTATCACAGCAAGTACCAATTTTTTCTTTCTTGTATTGAACGTACTAGGAGTACTGATACTGAAGTGATTTAAAAAAAAAAGCCTCCCGAAATCATGGAATCTATCAGAACCCAATTTTTTAGGATCGTGATGGAACTTGTTTTGCAAATTTGCTCGTACGGGGACCGTGCTGCAGTACCAGGAGTGCCTCACGCCACGGAGACGGTAACGTACCGTATTCTCATCTAGTACGAGTAGAAATACCACCATACTCTTGGTCATCAATATTACGAGACACTATCGGTACAATAAACATTTTTGTCATTTCTTTCGTTAAAGAAGAGAATGTGGCGGATGCAGATTGAAATAATGGACATGTGCCACATAAGCATAGATTAAACGTGACGCTTTTAACATCCTCATATACTGCAAATCGTCCTTCTTCGGATCGTGAAACTAGGACGCTTATCCAGGATGAACGGGGATAGCACGAAGATGGTCGAGGAGTATTTTTCAGGTCCAACAATTTCATCAATGGCGACTTCTGAGACGTTGAATGTTATCCGACCGTACGGATATTCGGTATCGAAATGTGGATACTGCAAGGGATCGCGTTCACACTTATTACAAACACCAGAACCAATACCAGTGCTACAAACATCGAATCACGCCTCGTCATCGCCGACGCCGACGTCAAAATCATCCAAGATGACTTCAAAATCGTACAGCGTGCTGGCCGATAGCGTATCACCGGCCCTGTACGAAGATTTGATCAATAAAGGATGGCGACGTTCTGGCGTGCATCTCTACAAACCGCAGAATTTTTCCAGCTGCTGTCCGACACTGACAACTCGCTTATTGACGAGAGAATTTAAGCCGACCAAGTCTCAAAGAAAAGTATTGAAAAAAATGAAGAACATTCTCAGACCATCTTTGCGTGAAAAAGAAACGACAGCAACGGCATTGCCAATGATGATCAGATCGACGTTAGCATCCAAGAAACAGAAAAAACTTCATGGACAAAAACAAAAACTTCGTAATGCCAAAGCAGTATTTGCTCCGTCGAATTCAGATGATTCTGACCATCCAGAGCTCGAGACATCCAAAACCTCTTCGTCCTATTCATCATCGCTTGTGGAACAAATAGAAGAGAACAATATCTTGCGAAAACTCGAGGAAGCTACGACTAAGGCGATTGAAAAGCATTTGTCGTGTTCGTTGCCAAACTACTCCAACGAAAATTTCAAACAACAGCGACAGATTGGTAAATTCAAAACAAGCTATCGAATTTTAGCATCTTCGAAGCAAGAACGGAGGCAGTTACGAATACGGATTGCTTCCAGAATCTGTGCCCAAATCAGTGGATACTATCGAATTTCTCGGGATCAGTTAGCCCAACAAGTGGTTCAGCTTATGAAAGAAGATGACGTTCTATCGATACTTCACAGCACGAACAGCCAGAGCAAAAGAGCAATCCCGTCGATCAATTGCAGTTGTTTTTCTTTCGCTTCTCTTGAGGCTCACCTTCCTAGTGGCCAAATCATATGTACAATTGAAGGGAAGAGTCACGAACAGAGGACTGAGATCAAACGTCGAGTTGACACCGAGGAAGATAATACCATTGCAAGTGACACCGAAATGAAAGATTCGAAGGAAAAAGGAAGTCATTCTTTCAAACACAGCACTGGCGCCGACAGTGGAAAACTGTCACGATGGTACAAGAAGACCACCGGAAAGGATATCCACATCGAATCAAATCAATATTGTATCACAATCGATACGCTCCCTGCTCACCGTTCAGCATTAGATCCAGATGTGCATCGACTATACATACACTACCAACATGCTGTACACAACGATCCGAACCCCTTTTCGGACAATCCAAATGATGTTAATATCAATACCGACGATAGCAACAGCGACGAAGATGAGGAAGAATTAAAACTTGACTCAGATGACCCTTCAGAGCTAGATTGGGGGCACGCTCCAACCTATTTTACTGACAAAATATCTTCTATGCTAACACCATACATTCAGTCATTGCAATCCAAGGAAAGTCGCCGCGCCGTACTTTCGAATTACTACAGCTTTTATCAGTTCTTGGTTGAAGCACCTTTTCCTCTTCAGGATGTTTCTACCACGCGCCACAATTATCCCAAAAGTGATGACAACGTCACACAGCAACACCCACATCATTCATGGTTTAAAGAGAATTGGAATTTGCCTTGTGGATTATATCATCAGCACTATAGATTAGGAGGAGAACTTCTCATTGCAGTTGGTGTCATTGACGTTCTGCCAACTGGATTGTCATCAGTTTATCTCTTTTACCTCCCTAGTTTTTCCCAAGAGTTGGTTGCGCTTGGAAAGTACGCCATTCTGAAAGAGATTGAGTTCGCGCGCGATGTTTTGAAGGTTCCATATTACTACCTTGGTTATTAGTAAGTGTTGAAGACAAGAAAAAGCTTATTTTGATCATTCTTTTATTCTCCTGACGCACACCACATGTATTCACGTTTTAATATTTTTCTTGCGTTCGGAAGCATCGAGTCATGCCAAAAAATGCGGTATAAAGCAGAGTACAAGCCAACTCAGATGTTGTGTCCGAAGTACCACGATTGGGTGGATGCCACCATAGCGATTGAAAAGTTACAGAGGACACCACGGCACGTATGTCCGTTAATCGAAGCTACGCCAAAAACTGAAGAAAAATCTAAAAATGCAAACGAGATCAGGAACCAAAAAGCGACTAGCCTTGATATAAATGGTTCTTTGAGAAATTTGCAGATGGATATTGGTGCAGGCATGAACGTCACCATAGACATGCTACAGTCAAGTGGTGTTGAGGTTGTAAAACCAATTCTGAAAGAGTTCATTTTGGAATTTTCTCCAGAACTGTGTCAGCAATGTATTTTGAAATTAACATGAGATTGCGGTAGCCTTCTGGGTCATAGCCATCTCTGATTAGGATCAAGACTTGGGCTTGGGACGACTGAGCTTGTAGTGGATGACATTTCATTTCACTCCAACACCTTAGTAGGAAGGATAGGTATGGAACTTCAACTACTGGTTTCCTTCAACTTTCACTGTGGCACGTTATCTAGTTTTTTTTAGTTTGGCCCAAGCCACTGTTCTCAGATCGAGTCCAATGATTTGGCTGGGCCGGGCTGATTTCTTCTTCACGAAAAGTCTACCATACCGTGTACACGAAAAAAATTAGAAATTATCAGATTCTATCTTCTTGTGAATTCCTCTGAGGTTGTATTTTTTCTTTCTGTACCGCACAAGAGCTAGAATCAAAACAAAACAGCACCATGGCACGGTAGAGTAAAGATCAAGCTTGTCGCTATAATTCTCTGCAACCATAGAATGGTCTAGCATTTTTTTTTCTTCGATCGCGACTCCACTTTCTGACAACATCCTAAGCACTTCTACATCGTCATCTTCCAACCTGGAAATAATTAGAGCAAGCAAAAAATGAAAAGGATTTCAAATCAAAAATCTTGAAGAAGTCAAACTTTCTGAATTGCCATTGTAGTCTCGTCAAACTTGTCACAAAACACACATAGTACATACCAATATGATTGTTCTAAAAATTTGTATACTTCAAGTTCATCCCACCGATCCTTCTCCCTAGATAGCCAACATAAAGGACAAGAGGAAGCTGGTGGCCAAGAAATCTCTGCCTGAGTGGTGAAGCTCTCGCTCTCAATGCCTTGTTCTATACGTTCGTTCCTTAACCTCACATTGACACCATTGTGAGTCTCGTATAACCAAAGAGGATATTGAATAAACTGTTCAAGAGTTCCACCATTTGCCAATGTAATAAGGCGGTTACATCGATCGAACATGCAGGCATCAAAATCGCTTAGAAAGTTTAGCCGACATTCTTCGCATTGAAAAAAGTGTTCAACATAATTCCGCTGGATGTCTGCCATCGCCGCTGGAATTATCATTTGTCCATCATCCGTAGCCAAGTGATTCCATTTCACGAGACCAACACTCATAATGTGAAATAGAATCCAAAGTCCTGCCGTGTACCCCGTACCGTGCTGCGATGAAGCCCGACTCCACTTAGAAATGGGACCGGGAGGAGGATGGTTTCCCATGATTTTGTTCAGTGCCATGGGCTCCATGACGATCGCATCGAAATTTTTCAGCAAATCACGAACAACTGGCTGCATACTCGAGTTTGACGGAATTGTCCTCTTCATAGCATTTAAAAATGCTAGTAGAGCTTTTCTGGGTTTTTCCGGCAGTGGCCCAGGTTGAGTAAATATTGCAGTAGTCATAGCAAAGTGAAAAGAAAGGTGAGCGTCGCGAAATGTTTCGGTTTTGGTTCGTTGGATAAAATATGCTTTTTGTCGTATTTTGTCATGTCCCTTGTCACTTCTTTGTGAACCCTGTCGCATATTGACCTGTTCAGTCTCTTTTCGCATTGCTAATGTTGTTATACGAAAGATTTCTTCGGAATGCAAATCCGTCTGTGTGAATTTTGTCCCGTTGATAGAATTGGGCGGATAATACATTATTGTTGGATAACCATGGATCCCATTGTCCATACATATTTTCGCATGCGGTACGCAAGACACAGCAAAGACCTCGACATTGACACGTAGCTTTTTTGACATTTCGTGTACTTCGTTGGAAAACTCCATATATTTTGGCTTGAAATGCAGGCAATGTGGACACCAGCTTTAAAATCAGAGAAGTGCAACAATAAGGTGTGGCATACCCTTTGAGTCGTCAAGAATTGGAGGCAAACTTCCATTGTAGTATGGGTTTGTAACTTGTTTCCTATCAACAATTTTGGAACTTACTGTGCGTAGTAGGTAACAACGCGCCCGTTTGGATAGTGAGGTGAATAAATAGAATCCGGACGGACATCGCTGTCGCCAATAACCTCTTGAACAAAATGTTTCTTCGTCTCCGTCAGATAAATATAATTGGAGCGATCAGTCATGTCACCCAGACACGAGAAAGCGCAGAAAAATAGCCATAGAAGAACATTGCCCACAAGTAGGAAGCACAATTGTGGTTTCATTTTACTGCATGCAAAGCGTTTTGTAGTATTGAAGTCAACACTGCCCGATACGGTACGTATCAAGAAAAGGTATTTCCCGGTAGAGTCAGTTGCACAGTGGTTATACGATTACGGTGACGAGAGAGTTTGCTTTTGATGTGTCGCGAAAATGGAGGGCCGAGTTCGTGTGCCCGTTGCTGATTGTGTTCGCCAGGTGAAGAAGGAGGAACAGGGTCTGCTCTTGACTCACCAGTGTGAGGTAAAGGACTTCTGTAAAGGGAGAGCAGAGACGTTTCGTTAGACAACACGACGCGTAAAATAACACTTAAAATTACGTTAATTGAGGCATAGAAAGGAGAATTGACCTCCACCCTGGAAAACATTTTCACTGGGATTCACTTGCTAGAAGGCATATCCCTAGAATTTCTCTCTTGGTAGTCCTCTCTAGCCATGCTGCCCAAAACCTGGAGCTAGGGGTTGTCATGAGAGCTACCTATCCAGTGATATGAATGCTTTCCAACAAGTTGTTCCAGAAGAGTTGAAGTGGAATGTCAGCTACTAGTAGGGGGTAGTACTACCTACTACTAGTAGTATTTGAAGATTCTACTAGTACTACTAGTAGTAGATGAACTCTTATGATGAGAGCAGGTATGATTCTTGAACAGGAGTTTGGTGACAAAAGAGTGAAGACTCACAAAGCAGATTCTTTTTGAGGAAGCCTCTATCTCAGCAAAGGAGACTTTACAAGTGGTATCCAGACAGGTGCATCGCGAATGAAGTGGAAGGGAGGGAAGGGATGTTCCAAGATATCCATCACCAGAGAGTTGGGATAGGTATGGACAATGGGAACAAGAGCAACAAGATCTTATCACTTTTGATTGGTCTGGTGAGGAAGAAGAGAAACAGCTCCTCAGAATGCTGCCATGGAAGAGCTCCTATAACAATGATGACAGCAGTTTGTCAAGAAACAGGACATACAGAAATCTATGTTATCTCTTTGAAGCACCAGTATATGCTATTCTGCTCTCAAACCCTCAGACAACATCACTCAAAATCCAACAGGTAAATGGGAGTTGAAATATGATGGATAATTATTACTAGTATAGTACACTTTGCACCTCTTTCGTTGGATTAAGCTCAATATTTGGCTGATTTGACTGCTTCTTTTTTTATTATGTTGATCTCATTTAATACTTTTAAGATGTGTTATGTCTTGCAATGTTGTACCAGTAGCAATGAAGGAATAAGCCTTCAAATATGCTTATTTTTTCTTATCAATTTGAAAATACCATCAGTTGGGTTCTACTGGTCATTTTGATACGCTGTTACTTGCTCATGATAGCTAAGAGTGACACATTTTTGAGGCTATCGTTTAGCGTTGGCCAGCTAATGTATAGTCCCAGTCATATATTTTAGGCCCTTATTTTTGCGTGTAATGACCACTTTGACTAAAACATACAAAATGCACGTGCTTGGTATTAGTGTTAAATTTTTTATCCCACATTCTTGCAACCAAATAGTTTTGTACGTGCAAAATAGTTTTTGCTTGCACATACACGCTGCAGTCCTGGTACAAGTCAAATTTTAATCCCATGAGTCATTACACAGTAATTAGATGGCCAGTTATCCACACACAGTACAAAAAACACGTGGGGCATTTAGAGAGGTTCAACTCACTCAAACAGTCATAACTTTGTCCCCAAAGGACGCTTAAGTATGATAAGCACATGGTTAAAAAGAGAATTCAAAGAGCTTTCTAAAATAAAAATCTTAATATCATGTTTTACCTCGTTAACTAGAAGAGGCTCTATATGGCCAGAACCACAGCTTTTGTTAGAAAGAATGCTCCTAGCTGCTCCGAGGGGCGGCACTTCCCTCTGAGGAGTGTTAGTGGAAGTGCGACCAGGGGTTTGTTTCACTGGAATTAAAAGTATTGRCTGAGCTTGGTTTGAAGTAAACTGGAAGAATGGACAGGAGGAGCCAAAGAAGTCTCTGGCACGGCAGGTTGTTTGTGTCGCTTCTTTTTGGAGTAGGCATCAAAGACCAATGAATCTTGTGTGATGCTCTCCGGTGGTTGCTTACTATGTGGCAATGATGTAAAGTACTGGGTAATTGGTCGGGTGTTGGAGACAGAGGCAAGTGTTGCTTTGGTGACACTTGCCAGAATCGATTTCTCGTAGACTCAAAGGTAATATGTGAGCATAGAAGTAGATGCAGTTGATAAAAAGGTTTCCACGTCTTCTGGGAAGAGGTGGGCATGGGATGGACATGTCTGTGATTTCAGTTCAAACAGAGTGCGGACTTTCGTCACCAAAATTCAAAGAGCTTTCTAATGCCGTGGGGGAGTAGGGCGTACCATAAGTATTGATCGATATATGTGTAGGGATATCTAGAATTGCTAATGTACAACTGGTGCGTCTTTTCTTGCTTGGCCCACACTATAGGATACTACTAGGAATTCTGTAGAGGGGACCCAGTATCAATTGAGACTTTTCAAATCTGGAGAAGTCAATCTAAATTTACCATCCATTCATACATGATCATCTATCAAAAGTGGAAGACTTATTATCAGGAATGAACCACTACTAGTACTAGTATTCCACAATATGTAATTCAAAAGTGGGGCATTTTGGGAGAGCCCACAAAAGGGGGGATTTCCAAATTTCATTATGTGGTTTTGGTACAACAACGCAAGCTATCATTAGTGCCGTTTACTGTGCCATTGTGTTCATAACGAAATAAGAATCAATTGATGATACTCAGGATTTAGCCACTGGGACTAAATAGATCCTTCAGAGGTTTTGTTTGACGATAATTTGATTTCTTTTCATTCTCCTCAGTCTCCATTTCCCCTCTTCCCCCCCCTCCACACACAAAAACTACTGAGTCCCAAAATATTTCTATTAGGGGTCCTTACTACTAGAAAGGTAAATTCATTGCTTGTTAGTACTAGTATTTGAGAATTAACATTACCTAGTGGTGCTTAGTACTGTGGTGACGTACTGCTGGAAAACCATTCCCACCAGTACAAACAGAACCCCCTAACACATCAGTTTGAAGTGCTCACTACTAGTAGCACTATAATAACATCCCCACTAGTAGTACTAGTAAGCATAAATAGAGGTTTTCCAATAGTAATTACTAATGTAATTCTCATGTAGTAAGCAATGAATTTAACTCTCCAGTAGTAGTAAGGACCACTAATCAAAATATTTGGGGACCAGCAGTAAAGTAAATAATTTGAAACAATTTTTTTAACTGTAAAAATGACTCTTAACAATTTGTGTGGGGACCATTGAAAATCAGCCAGAATTTTGCTCTCCAGTAGAAAAATCGTGGGTTGAAACCGCTCTGGGGTCTTGCAACGGATACCGTACGTACGTATACGATACGAAGCTCCGAAGAAAAGAATGAAGGATCATACCATTCCTACGTACCTGTCGTAAGGTATGCTTCCTATGTATGTATCATAGGAYGCATCATAAGAGGACCGAACACGTAAGAGGTCCGAGGATTGTAAGAGGTCCATGATATCAGAAATAGAATACCTCGCACGGAACAAAGATGTCAATAGATCAGAATAATAAGAACCCTGTGTAGATTTAGTACMGAGAGCTACACGGGATATAATCAGAGCTACTGAAAGCTCACGTCGAAGCGCGAGAATCTTAATCTTATATCTTAATCTTATAATTTCAATTTTCATACACACTTAACATACTAAGAGTACACGTAATCTCGTGCACAGTAATTACTAAGTGATTTTCGTGTATCGAAATTTAATCAACCCTTAAGAAAAACAACCAAAATTATCCCAAAATCACCACACCGACCATGGTGAAACCAAATAAGAACAACTCCTCCTCCACCAAACAACATCGACAAAACACACACCAATCATGCCTCAGCCTAATCAACAGCTTCGATGAGAGCAAAATGAAGACAGTAACTCTCACGGTAAACCTCCAGCGTCCATCAAGAAAACTAACAAGGAGTTGTTTGAGCTTTTCCGGTGAACATGGGGTGCARGAATTGTTCCATGTACAGGAAGACTTTGAAGATGCAATAAAGGATCTGGAATTAACGGGCGAAGATATAGACAAGAGGTGGCAAATGGTCCTAGCACACAGACCCAGACAGAAATGGAACAGCAT